GGGTTTCACCGTGTTAGCCAGGGTGGTCTTGATCTCCTGACCTCATGATCTGCCCGCCTCGGCCTCCAAAAGTGCTGGGATTACAGGCGTGAGCCACTGTGCCCGGCCTGAATTCTTTATTATTATTATTATTATTTGAGATGGAGTTTTGCTCTGTCTCCCAGGCTGGAGTGCAGTGGCATGATCTCGGCTCACTGCAACCTCCACCTCCTGGGTTCAAGAGATTTTCCTACCTCAGCCTCCTGAGTAGCTGGGATTATAGGCATGTGCCACCACGCCCAGTTAATTTTTGTACTTTTAGTAGGGACGGGGTCTCACCATGTTGCCCAGGTTAGTCTCGAACTCCTGGCCTCAAGTGATCCACCCTCTTCAGCCTCCCAAAGTGTTGGGATTACAGGCGTGAACCACTGTGCCCAGCCTGAACTTATTATTTTTAAATAGCTTATGTTTATTTCACCACTTTTTTTTACTCTTAATTATGACAGTTTTCAAATGTGGAAAAGAATAGAGAGAATACTGTAACACATACCCCAAATACCCATCATCTAGATTTAACAATTATCAACATGATTTAACAATTATCAACATTTTGCCTTACTTTATATATTTTGGGGGTAAATTTTACAGATATCATGACATATATACATTTCTAAAAATTAAGGACTTTTTCTGTGTCACCACAGTACCTCCTTTTTTTCTTGAGACAGGGTTTGGTTCTGTCCCTCAGGCTGGAGTGCAGTGGCACAATCTTGGCTTACTGTGGCCTCTGCTTCTTGGGCTCAAGCAATTTTTCCACCTCAGCCACCTGAGTATGTGAGACTACAGGTGCATACCACCATGCCTGGCTAATTTTTGTACTTTTAGGAGAGACAGGGTTTCACCATGTTGCCCAGGCTGGTCTCAGACTCTTGAGCTCAAGCAATTCACCTGCCTTAGCCTCCCAAAGTGCTGAGATTACAAATGTGAGCCACTGCGCCTGGCCTCCACAGTATGCTTATCACACCTATTAAAACTGACAGTAATTCCAGTTTGTTATCTAATGCATACTGTTCACATTCAGATTTCCTAATTATCCTTTCCAGCTAGTTTGTTCAAATTGGAATCCAGTAAAGAACTAACCATTGCATTTCATTATGTCTTTTAAGTCCCTTCTGATATAGACTGGGTCCCCCTCTCGACTTCTGTCCCTACCCCATCTCCACCATGACATTGACTAGTTGAAGATTACAGGACAAGCCCAGCTGTCCTGTAAGGTGTTTTATCTCCTGGATTTCTTCTGAATGCTTTCTTTTTTCTTCTTCTTTGTTTTGTGATTTGTTTTGTTTTGTTTTGTTTTGTTTTTTGAGACAGAGTTTCACTCTTTGTTGCCCAGGCTGGAGTGCAGTGGAGCAAACTGCTCACTGCAACCTCCGCCTCCCAGGTTCAAGTGATTCTCCTGTCTCAGCCTCCCAAGTAAGCTGGGATTACAGGCACTCGCCACCACACCGGGCAAATTTTTATATTTTCAGTAGAGACGGGG